CCCATTAAAATAAACTGTATTCCGTAGGTAATTGAAGTTAAGTCAAGCAAATACAAATGGAGAGGAAGAAAAGCTCCGATTCCAACTCTAAGTTGAAAATTGCCATCATACATCCAGATTGTCGTAACCGGTTTTCGTCCGGGCACGAAATATTTATTTGACGAGAAAATTGATGTGAATAAATGGTTTTGAAAATAATTTGGGAGTCGCCATCGGCCTTTTGGGTCAGGTAGGTCGAATACCTAAAAATTATTTTTTAAAAGAGTTTTAAGAAAACATTAATTAAAAAATAAACTGATCTGCGTTTATAACCAAAAATTCGTTCTTTTTAATAATAAAAAGGGATTCGTGGTCGGTTACGTTTAGGGAAGGATTAGCACCCCTACAACGCCCAAAATTGGTACTTTTTAATTATAAATTGTCTCTATTATTAAAAATTCAAAATATACTTAATTTATAATCCTATTATTTCAAAATTATAAAAAAATATTTAAAAATATCGGAAAATGACTTCTAGGTGCCTTAAGACAGCTCTTTTCTTTGATATTAATAAATATTAATTTAAATTAAATAATATTTTTTATAATTTTAAATTTTAAAATACTAGAATAGGACATCCAGTTGTATTAAGACTGTCCTTTTCTTCGATATTGAAAAATAAATATTAAAATAATTTATTGAAAAAATATAAATTATTTTATTATATATATTATGACTAATAATAATAATAAAATATTTAAACAAGTAAAATTAAAACAATAAAAATACAATTAGAACGATATATTTAAGTGCAGTAAAATAAATGAAAACATTTAAAATTAGTGACTAAATTATAGTAAAATTAAAATTAAAAACCTAATTCATAATTAATCAAAATTATAGGGATTAAACATGCTATTTTCTTATTTTATTAATTTAGTGACTAAAATAAAACTTATCTAAAATTCGAATATCAGATTAAAATAAATTAAAAATATAAACTCGGGATTAAAATATTAATTATTAAAATTAACGGACTAAATCTGTTATTTACCCTAAATATATTATTTTAATATAAAGGACTAAAATAAATAAAATTAAAATTAAATATCTGAATTAAAAGGATTATAAATTCAATTTAGTGACTAAAATGTAAAGTTTACAAATTAGGCTGACTGCGGACGGGGTTTACCCTTTATGAAATTACAGAAATACCCTCCCCAAAACGGCGTCGTTTGGGAGAGGGTATTAATACCCGAAACCGGCTGGCCCTACGGGCCAGCCTCTCATTTCTTCCTTTCTCTTCTCTCTCAAACAGAGAGAGAGCAGATTTCTCTGGCTTCTCTCTAAACTGAGAGAAAGCCGTCCCGGTCAGCTACCGCTGCCGGGCTCCGACCACCGCTGTCGGCCACCGTTAATGGTGGCCGGAAATTACAAAAATACACCAAAATATAGATCGGGACGATCTAAAACCGTTTCCGGTGTTCTTTTTCCTTAAAAAGCTCCCAATCGGAGCAAATCTACAAAAGTACCTTCGGTTTTCGTTGTATCCGGCGACGATTGGGGTTCTCCGATGACAGAGTAAGTTTCTTTCCTCTCTTCTCTCCCTTTTTTTTTGTTGCTGCGTTGTTGTTGACTGCTGGTTGTGGGTTATTTGTTCTTTGTTTTTGTTTCTTTGTTCTCTGTTTCTGTCTCTCTCTCCGTCTCTGTCCCTCTTTATGTTTGTTCGTCGTTGTTGTAGTCTCTTGTTCTCCGTTGCTCTCTGTGGCTGTGGGTTTTTTCTCTTTCTTGCAGGTGGGGTGGCTTTTATAGCCACCACCGAGGCTCTCGTTGGACCGGTTCCAGAGATGAGTTCTGGTGAGTCACCAAACTATGTGGCGACTCACCCCATAGCTGCGACGTGGACGGCCGGCGTGGTGTTTCTGGAGTCTTCGAAGAGGCGGTGGTGTCGTGGCTACAGCGGGGTGGAACACCTGAAGGCGGCAGCTGGGCTCTTCTGGAATCTTGGAGGCGGCGGCAGCAGTGCTAGGGTTTAGAAACCCTAGCTGAAACCCTAAATGTTTAGGGTTTCATTTTGGTCTGGGCCGGTTCTGGTTGGGCCTAACGGGATTGGGCCTGATAAATTTTGTAATATATAATATATAATATAAAATAATATAATAATAATATTAATAATAATATTAAAATAATAATAATTTTAATAATAACAAACGAAAAATTAGTGTTTACACAGATCTTGGCATAGGCAATTCTCTTTTTCTATTAGAATTTCTTTTCTTATTTTCTATTGTTTGTTTATTAGTTATTTATTAGTTGTATGTTTATACAATTTTTTAGGTTTATTTCAGTAAATTTCGGTGGATGAATAGGTTTTCAAGCTTTAATTTTAGTGGAAAAAGGCTTGATCGTTGTCGATGAATACGTTCCATAGCAAGTTATTCTTGTTATTTTTTACAAATTGAAAAAAAGGGATTACTTACCCTTTTTTGTTTAAAGGTGGAGCTGAGATTGATTGTTGATGCGGCTGTTGAATTTAGCATCCCATGGGTACAATGTTCATATTTTCACAGCTCACCATGATAATGATCGATGCTTCGAGGAAACCCGAGCCGGTAATTTAGTTTTCCATTATTTTTGCTACTTGATTGTGAGTTTAGAATAAACAGGCTGAGGGAGAACATTTTCATCCAGAGCATAGTTTATTTTGAAGTTTTGGAAAATTTAGTTGCATATAGCTTATTAGAACTAGTAACAGTCAATAATTGCTCGATTATAGCTGAACCAGAACATAGAATTCAACTTGGTTTCTGTCTCGAGCATCATTGGCGCAAAGAGGAAGAATGTCTGATATCTGAATAACGCCTTTTGTTCATAGTAACTCACTGGTTTAACTAAAGTTTAATTACAGGTATCTTTCCAGTTACTGTATACGGTGACTTCCTGCCTTGGCATATTTTCTATCGTCTTCATGCCATATGTGCATATCTTGCTGCATCTTTGTTGCACTTTGTCTACTGTTCATGTGGCCATCGTTTGACTTCATACTAGCAGACCAGGTCTCTGTTGTCATCCCATTGTTGAAACTTAAACGGTCAACCAAGGTATATAAAATTAGCTTTTTTCAATTGTTTTCTATTGTATCTGTCGTGTATCGTGATATCTGTCTCAGACGTTACTTTTCTGTTATAGGTTGTATTCTATTGTCATTTTCCGGATCTTACTTGCTCAACATACAACTTTTCTGAGGAGGATATACCGGAAACCTATTGATTTTATAGAAGAATTGACGACAGGTTGGTTTCTGCATACTGGCTATTTGTTTCTACAGAATAAGGAATTTGGAGTGTAAGTTCATCATAATTTGCTTTTATGTTATGTTTTGGAAATCGAAATTCAGGGATGGCAGATGATACTTGTTAATAGCAGATTTACAGCATCTACCTTTGCAAAAACATTTAAGCATCTTCATGCACGAGGAATTAGACCTGATGTTCTTTACCCTGCTGTTAATGTGAATCAGTTCGATGAGCCCCGTTCTTTCAAGTAACCAACATACTTGTACACCCATGGTCTCCTATTTTCCTGTTCCGGGAAATTGTTTAACTCTCATCTGACATTACTTCAATTACGTAAAACTTCCCACCATAAGAATGTCTCTGAACAGTATTTCTTGTTTCCTATGGCTAGGTTGAATTTTCTCTCCCAATCGCTTTGAAAGGAAAAAGAACATAGATTTAGCAGTTTCCGCTTTGCGATGCTTCACACCCTCGAAGAAAATGTTCAAAGTTCGAACTTTGCTGATGCAGAGTTGACATTGCCGGTAAGCTCCTTGTTTTAACACGAGTATTGCCATAAATTTGTGCCGACAGATGGATTCTGTGCATGGATGGAATTTTTCCTTCACATTTTTTGATAGAACTTCACATTATTTTCTATACTTCAACTGAGGTCTGTATTTTTACTTTTTATTGTTTTAATTTTTAGGTGGATATGATAAACGCCTAAGGGAAAATGTTGAGTACTTGAAGGAGCTCAAAAGCTTAGCGGAGAGGAAAGGAGTCGCAGATCGGATTAATTTTGTTACATCTTGCTCGACTACAGAAAGGAATTCTCTACTCTCTCAATGCCTGTGTGTCCTTTATACACCTACAGTACGTTTCCGTCTATCATTTTCACAAAGTGGTTATACTGACTAAAGAAGAGTACATTTTAACATTTGATAATTTCCGATTCAATGTAGGATGAACACTTCGGCATCGTTCCATTAGAGGCTATGGCAGCACACAAACCCATCATAGCATGCAATAGCGGCGGTCCTGTGGAAACAATTAAGAATGGGGAAACCGGGTTTCTTTGTGATCCAACACAAAGGACTTTGCTTTGGCCATGGCTAAACTCATTCAAGACCCAGAGAGGGCAAGAGAATGGGAGAACAGGCTAGGCAGCATGTCAATGAATCATTCTCTACGACGATATTCGGTCGGCGTTTGAATCAGTTTCTTCTGGATGTTGCTCGAACTAAGCGGGACTAAAAGTCGGGGATCGGTGTTGTCGATGGTGGCATTTTGGAATGTGATTTAAACTCGAGTTTCATAAATACTTTTAAAATTAATGGAGCATACCTGTTGACTTTGTGACAACAAATAGTACTAATTCAAATAATTTTAAAATTCATCGAACATACTGTCAACGTGGTTTATAAAAAGAAATGTCAACATGGCTGCTATTGTATTATCAAACATAATAAAAAGGAAAATGGCTGCCATTGTTTGCTTAGTACAAGTACATGCATTCCACTTGTTATATCTCAACCTTCACATTTTATTGTTCCACTTGTCATTCCTGCGAGAATATGAAAATGTAGTTAATACCATTGTATTTTCTGCTCTTTTTCCACTTCTTTGCCTATGATTCGTCTGCTCAAACAAAGCCGTCGTGTCCTTGATACCAAAGCGATGCCTTGATTCAATTCAACAACAACTTTTCGTTGTGGGATAGAGGAACAGATTGTTGTTTGTGGGATGGGGTTAAAGTGTTATACTGAAACAGGGAACGTGATCGGCCTTGATCTTAGTTGCAGCTGCCTTGTTGGCCCTATCCCCCTAACAGCACTTTCTTCAGCCTTCGGCATCTGCTAGAGCTTTCCCTTCTATAATGATTTCAACTCCTCCCTGATAGCATCGGAGTTCAGCGATCTTACGTCTTTAGAGATATTGTATCTTCTGATTGCAATTTAACAGGTCCAATTCCAGCATCTCTTAGCAACCTCACACAACTCAAAACTTTAGCTCTTTCACATAATCAATTCAGTGGTCTTATTCCATTCTCAATTTTCAACCTCCCACAAGTTGAATTACTAGATTTTTCTTATAATAACTTGCTCGGTTCTCTTCCTTCTCAAGTTGGTGGGCTTTCACGTCTTGTTGATCTACTCCTTGATCACTACTTTTTGAGTGGTAGGGTACCCTCTTGGTTGTTTCTCTTCAATCTTGGGTAGGTTGGCCCTTAGTAATAACAATCTCACAGGTCCGATTCCGGATCCGATTTCCGAACTTGTGAACCTTGCACTTCTTGATCTATCTTCAAATAATTTGAGTGGCAACTTTGAATTGCACAAACTATCAAGGTAAGGTTAGGTAAACTTCAGCAACTCTATCTCTCATATAACGCTTTGTTATCATTCACCAGTGCAAGCAATGCCAATTACTGTTTGCCAGATCTTTCGACATTAAACCTCTCTTCTTGCAACACAAGTGAGTTCCCAAATTTTGTAAGAAATCTACCCCGCTTGGTGACCCTAGACCTTTCTCACAATAAAATCCGATTCATCGAGGCCAATATGTTTGTAAACCTTACAAATCTTCAAGAACTGGATCTTTCACACAAAGGTCCTCTATCATTCAGCAACATCAACAACGTTACTCGTCTTGCCCGGTCTTATGACATTGCTCATGTCTTCTTGTAATACAACCCAACTTTCAAATTTCGTGACAACTCAAGAGAGTTTGATTCGTTTAGATCTTTCAAACAACAACATTCGAGGCCGAAGTACTGAACAAGAATACAACTTGGGGAAGCAACCTACAAGCCCTTGATCTTTCGAACAACTTGTTGACAACTGTAGAATATTATCCATGGAAGAATGTTGAAACGCTTAATCTTGGTTCCAACCTGCTAGAAGGGCAACTGCTAGTACCACCACTTTCTACAAAAGTCTTCTTAATCTCAAACAACAGATTGACAGGAGCAATTCCATCTTCTATGTGCAATATCGGGTTTGATTCGAATACTTTTGACTTGTCTAATAACAACTTGAGTGGAGCAATTCCAACATGTATGGCCTATGCAAAACTTCGTCATTTATATTTGCATATGAATCATTTTCATGGAGTCATCCCTGATTTCTATGTTGAGGATTACATGTTAAATAGACTTAACCTCAACGACAATGATTTTGAAGGGCCAGTCCCTAAATCCTTGGTTAACTGCCAGCATTTGGAAGTGCTGAATCTCGGAAACAATAAGATAAATGGCACCTTTCCCCACTGGTTAGGAATTCTTCCTCGGCTACAGGTTCTTGCCTTGCGCTCCAATCATTTCCATGGTCGAAAAGCCCTTCAGAAAATGGATCGGATTTCTGGAGTTTGTGAATATTAGATCTCTCTTATAATGAGTTCTCTGGAATTCTCCCAACATCATACTTCAAAAATTTCAAAATTATGATGAATTTGTCTCAAGTTCAGATGGGATACAGGAGTTCTTACAACGAAGATTCTGTGGTTATCACAATGAAAGATGTGAACATCGAACTCGAGATAACTCTCACTATTTTTGCAACCATTGATATGTCAAGCAACCGATTCGAAGGATCGATTTCGGAAACGGTCGGAAACCTTTTATCTCTCAAAGTGCTCAATTTTTCTCATAACCATTTAACTGGGTCACGTTCCTTCCTCATTAGGGAAAATGACAGCACTTGAATCCTTAGATCTCTCTGACAACAAGCTTATCGGGAAAATTCCTTCGCAGTTTGCCGACTTGAATTTTCTTTCGGCGCTAAACCTCGGAGAACCAGCTTGTTGGGCCAATTCCTAAGGGGAAACAATTCAATACCTTTCAGAAAGATTCCTACTTTGGCAATACAGGATTGTGCGGGTTTCCAGTTTCGAAAAGCTGTGGCCAAATGAACCACTACTACCATCAACTTTTTTTTTTTTTTTTGAAAGAGGTGCTTTGTATTAAAATAGGATAACAAAGTACACCACCTCAAGAACCTCATTAAAAAACCTCCCAATCCAATGAAGGAAAAAGAGTATAACCATTGAGGTGGTAAAGATATACATACATAAAAACATACAGCACAACAAGCTAAACACAAGCCACTACCATCAACTTTTGATGAAGAAGAAGCTGATTCTGAATCAGGATTGGATTGGAAAATCGTGATGAAGAGTTATGGATGTGGAGTGGTGTTCGGATTTTCAGCAGGATATATATGACAATCAGGAAACTAGAATGGCTTGTTGGAATGGTTCAAAGAGCAGGCAACAAAGTTTTAAGGACATTCAAGAAAAAAATACCATTGAGGAGATAATTGCTCATCAGTGCCTGGTTGTATTCTGTTTTTAAATGTTTGTATTTTGTTGGCCATGTGAGCTTTGATCATATTCCCCCAACCAAGGGCAAACAGTTCAACTTCATGTTAAGCATTCTATAAAAAAGAATGCACACTATTCCCGCCTTTGATCGGTTCCCACCTGAAACGTTCAGCAATTTCGATGAGCGTTAGTCCTTTCCACAAGTAGAACATGTTGTAATTGCTCTTACCTGTACTTGGTAACCAGGCAATGGAGAAACACGGCCATCTGCACTTTGGCGAAGTCTGCTCCTATAAAGAATCTCATCCCATCACCGAATGCCATGAAATTCTTGGAGGCTCCATTTATGTCCCTTGCGCAGTTAAAACAAGCGAGTTTCGAGGAAAATTGTAGGTAAATGGAATTTCCAGTATTGAACCCCCCTCCCATCTCGATGGATTAAAGGTCAAGGGATCTTGGTATATTGCTGGATTCAAGTGCACAGCCGGGGGACTGACCATTACTGCCCAACCAGCTGGAATGGTATATCCTGCATTATCACCAAGTTTGATGTGTTATGAGCTTTCATATTAACAATGGAAGAAATAGGTCTCGAAGCATACCTTTGAAATGGATTTCTTCTAGTGCTTTTCTGAAGATTAGTGGAGCTATATTTGCAAGTCTAACTGTTTCATTGATGAACTGTAACTTGCACTTGTCAGTATGGAAACAAATAGATCCTTAACACACGTTTAAAGGACAGTTTTTTCACCTGGAATGTGTATGTCATTGATTTATATTCTTTTCCAGTCCAGCCCAGAATTGCTTCGTGCTCTTCCTGGAAGATTGGGAATACTTAGTTTTGTTTTGTTCAGAAAATTCGGATTTTCGAGATTCGGGGATAATTAGCATACCCTTAGCTTTTTCAGAACTGAAGGGTGGTCGGAAAGGGATTGTACTGCTACAGTTAGAGCCACGGAAGTTGTTTCATAGCTTGCAATCAGTAGAACAAACATCAAATCCAGAGCGATTGCCTCCATTAAGACTGTGTCCTCTTTCTCGAGTTCTTCGAGTACGAAATCGAAGAAGTCGCCTCGGCTTTTCCCCGGCATTGCCCGGCGCCTCTCGTTTAGCAGGTTCTTTAGCATTTTCATTGCATTGTTCCTTCCCTGTAAACATTTGTGATAGGCTGTACCAGGAATATTCAAGGGAAAGGAGATCAATCCTTCCATGAAGGTAACGAAATTGTCCCTCAGATTCTGAGTGGCATTCTCCGGGTCAAAACTTATCAGCTTTTTGGCCGTTAGATCAAATATCATCTACAAGGAAAATGTGTCATTACTCATTAGACTACATTCTGATGATCCTGAAACTTTACTAGTTACTCACACTAGCGGTTGCTTCTTTTAATTCGATGGTGTCATGGACCGACCAGCATTGTAACCTCCGGCGAGCCATTCGCTCGACTTCAGGGAGCATCGTTTTGAGGCTTTCGGGTCCGAAGAGACTAAGCACCATGTTCTTGAGGTATTTGTACAGGAAGCCATGTAAGGAACCCAAATTTTGACGTCCAAAGATCTCTGTGAATGTAGCCGGATACCAACTCTGAAACAATTTCCCTTCTTGAAGAAACACAAAGTGATTGAGATCGGAGTCCGACGATACGATCACCGGTTGCCCCACTAAGCTGGTCTTGAATATTGGTCCATATCTACGACCAGAGACGAAGTTACACTATTTTAGGAGGATGAAAATAAATTAAAGGATCGTCCCCTCGGTCCACCACTGCCTGCAACTAAATAACATGTTAAGCAATGGAGATGTATCTGACCTTTCCCTCCGGTCTTTGACGAAGGGATGAACGTCGGAACTCGTGCTGGGGCTGAAGAACTGAAGAGTTTCGCCAACAAGTGGAAATCCCATTGAACCAGGTGGGAGTTCGCCATTACATTTAGGGTTTCTCCACTGGTAAACCCAACGAGCGATGCATATAATCAGAACCAAAGCTCCAATCCACAGCATCAACATCTCTGGTACACCAAATATCTAAATCATATGTACATGTATTGTGATTCTCACAAGCCATGAGAAGCCCTACTTAAATAGGAAGTCGATGCATGCAACTGTTCCATGAGATTAATTATTATATTCTAAAAATAGAGATTGTTTGATACAAGTTGGTCGGTGTAAAATTTAATCTATAAAACTTTATGCATCTCATTGTTATTTGTCTTCATTTACAAACTAGGTCTTAACTTCTCTGTTGTCTACTTTCTCTCGCATGAAACATGTTTATTTTTTTCTCCAAAATGCCAAAATATGCGTCCGGTACATTTGGGGGAGTTAGTACTTTCAATTTTTTCCTTTCAAATTTTATAAGTTCGTTCTTTTATAAAACTTTAGAAGTTCGTCCTCTAATATAAAATTATATCTCCGTACTAGACTATCGCCAATTCTTTAACACAACGGGCTTCATCTAGTATTTCGTCGATATGTTTTGCATATAATTATTCTATATAGATGTCGAACATTATTTTTATGATATCATTTTCAGCTAAAGTTATATAAATTTTTTATTTAAAAAATAATGTCATTTATCTTAATAGGAGTTTAGGGTTTTAAAAGAGATCATATTTTAAATTTTAAAGTTAACATTAATTAGATAAATTATATTTTTACAAATTATGTATAAAATAATTACCCGTTTAATTTTTTTTTTTTGTAAGAGATAGAAAGAGGTTGCTCAATATCTAATATCAACTTGAATTAAATAATTTTTTTTGCTAATATACAATGCTAGGTCGGTGTCATCTCATTGGTGTAAATTGTAAACCAGTACAACTCCAAGACATTATTTCTTATTAACGCAATTTTATATTCCTCTCAAAATAAAAAAAAATAAATTCACATCAAACAATATTATTTAGTAATTAAAATAATTAAACTAATTAAAATTTTGGCATCTTACCTATAAAACTGAATTAAATCTTAGACTGTCATGAAGAGACTGCTGGTTGTATAATTAAAATCTTTGCAATTATTATTTAAATTTAATATTTCCACTTTCAAAGATTCTTGAAGTCTTTAATCGATAATATCCAAATTTAAATTTATCTTTTTTAACATAATTTGCTACCTAAGGTTTCTCATTCTTTTTTTTTATTTATTAATTTTGGGTAAGTACGAGATAGTATTTGTTTAAAGATAACTTTCAATCATTTGACATTTGTGGACACCGTTTTTTGCGAGGGTGAGGAAAGATCGATACCGACTCGGGGTTTTCTCTTTGAAAAGAAATTTCAAAAAGTGAGGAGTCGTTACCAATCATTTAAGGTGCGATTGGAACACCATAAAAATCGGGTGATTTTAATAAAATATTTTATTTTTATCAAAATATCGAGTTTTGGAGTCTGCGAAAATCCATAAATCAGGTTCGGGAGTCGGTTATACGTGGGAAAGGATTAACACCCCCACAAGCGCCCAAAAATTGGTATATAGTTGATTACCCTATATTTAAAATTAGAAATTTTGAGTTCGATCTTTATTTAATTTAAAAATCATTACGGATGCAAAAAGTTGAAAATGGTATTCGTTTATTAGGGCCGATAGCATTCGCCCCCTAGCATAAACGCGGAAGATTAGCTATTGTACCTAATAACCGAACATTGCCTTAATTTTAAAAATCATGATGAGGTCTTGAAAAGAATGTCGACTTATTTCGGGAATTACAAATAGTCACCCCCTATGCATGATTGTGGGAGATATACTATTAATTCCTTAATAAGTGAACATTGTCTTAGAGTAAAAAATAAAATGATATCAAACAAAATTTTATTCATCCTAATTAAACTAAAAGTAAATTAAGTCTTTTTCTAACTTAAGGTGTCAAATAATGAAATTAAAGAACCTAGGGGCTCAAACCTAAACGTGTAGATTCTAATATTAATCCTGTTTGATTTTAATCACTTATTGAATCAAATAATCACTTATTTAATCAAATAACCGAGATGGTCCCTCGAGCATTTAAGCGAGGGTCACCTCGAATTATTCCCTAAATTAAAAGACTAGTTTGAAATCTAACTAAAAGTGGAGGCTATATCATTAATTTTAATAAATCTTATTTCGAATAATTAAATTAGAACCTCGAGCAAAAGCGAAGATCAAATTAAGAATTCACCTAATTAAAGGACTAAATGTGAAATCAAGCCTAAGATAGAGACTCTAATATTAATTTTAATTAATTATGTCAAAAATAAAATTCTAATCGAAATTCGGGGACTAAAAGGTCGAGATCTAAAAATACCGATTTATAAAAGATCTAAAAGCTTAAGTCCTAAGTTTACAATTATATTTTACTACCCGAACTTAACTTGAAATTTTTCGAGTCGATTTATTCAAGTTTTTTTATGGATTTTATTATAATTATTTATATTATTATGACGAAGAGTTGAGAAATTGATAGGAAGAAAGAATTTTCAAACAATTGTAGTCAAAAGATTAAATTAAGTAAAATACAAAGTTAAATGAGTAAAAAAAAGTACGTTTTAAGTGAAAAAATAACAATTAGAGTTATATAGGTATTCTACTATGGTATATGATCATGTGGTTCAAATTTGATAAAAACAAACTTAAAATAAATGATGAAATAAAGAAATAAGAAAATTATGAAAAATTGAAGACTAAATTTAAAAATACAAAATTTGTTATAAAAAGAGGAATTTAATAATTAATAGATTAAACCTCGTACGTATCTATTTAAAAATAACTCTTAATCATTTAACATTAAACACTCACACCCCTAACATTTTTTATACTAAAACTCATAATCTCAAAAAATAATAATAATTCATTTATCACATAAATTACTCGATTTGTGCTATACTTGTCCATGTCTAAACAAATATATTCGTCTAATTATGGTGTTAACTTGAACAGGTTGATGAAAATCTAGAGGCAGAAGAAGTGGAGGTATACTATGACCCTGCACAGCTAGTTGCTGGCCTATTGAAAGGTCCATCCACTTCAGACTCTGTCTCTGCCTGCCCATTACATTCCCCCACTTAAAATAAATCACTGCTCATCTTATATTTGCTTTACTTATTTTTATTTTCATCTTCAACCCATCTGTATCTTTTGTAATAATTAAGCAAATAAATTGTTAGAACTTTTTTTTAATTTTTCTTTTTTTTTAAATATTCCAAGTATAGGCAAGAAATCAGTTAAAAGTGCCATATAACACCCTTTTCCATTAAAAAATCTGTTAGTATGTGATATCAACGTTGCATAAATATTACATTTAATGATACAAACAATATTAAAAAAAATAATGATATGGAGCTTTAACCTTTTCTTTCAGTAGGGATCGATTTTAGGGTCAACGCCTTGTCGACATTCGTCGGCAAGAGCCACATTTAACATTTCAGAGCAGAACGGATCATCTGGTTTCAGCCATAAAGCCTGTTAGGGAAAGAAACAATAAGAACAACAAATTCAGGGATTTGGGACCGAGAAAGGTTAAATGCAACAACAAAGCAGTTTCTTCAACAATCTTACAGTAAATCGAAAACTATCATGAGTTTAATACCAAAAGTCATTGTACTGAGCTAAAGGAGATGCAGCATGGAGATGGAAAGGTCTAACACATTACAAATAAAATACGTGCAAATGAATCTTAGATTACTGACCTTATGATAGTACGTAATTGCATCACTAAACTTATCCTGCAAAGAGTTGAAAAAAAATCATATACACATCGAAAATTCTACCATAAACAGATACCTACAGGTTAAATTTCATTTCCTACTAGTTTATTAAGTTCTGAAGCAAGTAATCTCAGCTAATCACAAATTTAAAAACATTATTTTCATGTATGGTCTATAAAACAATAGGCAAATTCAATTCTTAATGCATCTGTTACAAGATATAAATTCCATAATTCCATTATGTAGGACAAGGTGGACTGACCTGCAAATGGTATGTGTATGCAAGACCAGCATAAGTGCTCAAGCTTTTAGTTGATAATGTAAGTGCTTTCTCGTAGAATGTGACTGCTTCGTGGAACATCCTGATACATGATATCCCATATAACTAGTCTTAAGAGATCGAGTTCAGCACAAGTCTTTTTGCAAACTAGTACCACTGAAATCAAACCAGTATCTATAATTCTTTCTAACGGAAGATTTGGATCAAAAGATAGAAATGTTTCAGAAAAAGCATGAACATTACTGTGGAGTTAATAGGGAAGAAAATTGATTGTAGCATAGAGTTATAAAAACGTTAAAAAGGCATACTTTAGTTTCCTATAAGCATGGGCAAGATTAACCACAGTTGGTTCCCACATTTCACTTAATGGGTTCGGAATAAGAGCCAATGTTTTCTCAAACCACCAAACAGCTTGATTATACCTGCAAGTTTTGAAACAAAAATATTGTTTTAAAGAACTAAAAGTAGAAAACGTAACTTTAAAATATGGTAGACATGCAATGACATCTTTACCAAAAATACTTATACAATGGAATGACAATTTAAATAAAAAATTATGTTGCATGAGATAACTACCCGCCAGGTAAACAAGTACTATAAAATCATGTTTGAAAAAGAAAAACCTCCTAGTTTAAGTATTAATCCGTTGACCGCAGTTCAATGGAAATAAATACATTTTAGATTGTTCCCTGGTTCTCAGTGTCGAACATAAGAGTATGAATCTATCTAGCTTACAAACAGGCTTCAACGAGTTCAAAAATCCAACTATGATAAGGTGCATTATCCTTACTCTTTCTTATGATATGCAACAACTCCAAGCTCATTATATACCAGTGGATCTGCAGGGCAAATTGCCTTTGCCTGCATGATAAACTGAAAAGCAATACCCATGTCAAAAATTTTAATCGTACAAGAAATTACGATTTCTGAAGATACTAAGAAAAAATAATTGAAATGAAACAGAGACAAAAGAGATGATTATAAGCAAAGAAAACTTAGCAGTACAGAAGCAGCCACAACACCAAAACGAGAAACACAATGATGAATAAAACTATAGAAAAATATTTCTTTCGTCTTGTCAACCAGTATGCTTTGGAAGCCAAACTATCAACTCACACCAGTTCTGCTGATTCAAGAAATGATGGAGACATCATC